TCCGCCGGGAACCCTGACCAACCCATCCATAAACAGTTTTGCTCCAGACCGTTAGAAATATTTAGCTGTAAGGCTTTTTTTTTTTTCCAAAGCTAGGAGGTATTTTTTGGCACGAGCCTCCTCAAAGCCGAAGCCAGAGGTTTCCGTGCAGAGACCTTACAGGGCGAGCAGCGCTGCCCGTGCCTGCGCCGGTGGGACGGTTCGGGCTGCTTCACCCTGGGCCAAAGCCACTCCAGCTGAAGCAACTCCCAGCCTGCTCCTTTCACACGCAGCAGATACCGAGAGCATCTTCCAGCTCTCCAAAATGTGCCGGGCATCACCAGAGAGCGGGTGCCACGTGCTGCTCTGGAACTGGCGGCGGAAGGTGCCTCTGTATTTATTTCAGTTAGTTTTCAGCCATGTTTTGCTTCTCACTCCGTCTTGGGCAGTGGAGCTGTCATCCTGCTCTCATCCCAACAACTGAGTGCTCAGGAGTAAAATTAGCTCCAGATAGTATTTTAATTGCTCCTAGAGGTAGGAAGGGTGCCTCGCTTGTGGCCTCGGGGCAGGTATTTAGATTTATTTTCTGATGCTGGCATAACTCTTGCTCCCTGTAGCCATTTCTAAGTTCAGTGCAGTTGTCTCAAATCATCCTCCCTGAGCAGCCGAGGGGCTCTGAGGCCCTGTCCCGCTGGGTTTGGGCATGGAAGCACCCTGAATCCACGCTGGGGACATTGCCCGTGCTATGGGGGTGACCAGGAGTGACCAGCCCTGGGCTCTCTGTCCTTGGGCATCGCCTTCGCCGGCGAGCGGGACGCACGCAGCACAGGTGGTTTGGTTGGGGCAGGTGAGGTTTGGGGGTCACTCCTGGAGGAGGTACCAGCATCCCGCTCCCGGCAGGGCTCAGATCATCCAAAACCCTTGGTGGCTGTGTGAATCCACCGTGCCAGCACAGCCCCCCTGCACAGCCTTTGGGCTCTCTGTCCTTGGGCATCGCCTTCGCCGGCGAGCGGGACGCACGCAGCACAGGTGGTTTGGTTGGGGCAGGTGAGGTTTGGGGGTCACTCCTGGAGGAGGTACCAGCATCCCGCTCCCGGCAGGGCTCAGATCATCCAAAACCCTTGGTGGCTGTGTGAATCCACCGTGCCAGCACAGCCCCCCTGCACAGCCTTTGCTTTGTGACAGTAAAACTGGGGGGCAGCGGGGCCAAGCCGGGGTGCGGCCGGCAGAGCGGGGTCCCCAGCACCCCACGGGCTGCGGGGCTGGTTTCACGGGGGACTGCTATTTTTAGGGGTGGCTTTACCGGGTGCTGGAGGACAGCAGCGTGTCTGCAGGTGAATTCCCTCACCACGGTGCATCCGCATCCCCACCCAGAAGCACAGCCCGGTGATGGGCACCGGGTCAAGACGTGCCCCACGCCAGGGAGGCAGAGCTGGGAGAGCAGGCAAACTTTACTTCTATCTTCCAGCGGCAGATAAAAATATGTCCATCTCTTTTTTTCTTTTCCCGTGCAGCAGTGGGAGCGTGCGGGAGCGCGCGGGGCCGAGCAGCACATTCCTGCGCTCCTGAGGTCATTGCTTGCACTGCCGCCAGCCCTCGCCTGCTGCCAGCCCTGCGCGAGGTCGGGATCGCCTCTGGTTTATGGTTATTTTTCATTTCTCACTCCTGCTCCGACACGGGCTGTGTCAAAGCCCAGCTGTGTAAAGCACCAGCAGAGCGGTGGGCTTGGGGAGCTGCAAGGTGCTGGGGACCACGCTGACCCGGAGCATCCCAAGGCAGTGGGGACGGGGCAGGAGGAGCGTGGCATAGCCAGAGCCCCGCCAAGTGCTGCCCGCTCTCCCCCACCAAACATTTTGCTGCCGGAGCCCATTTCGCACCAGCACGGTGTTGGTTGGGCATCTGACAGGTTTTCCAGCAGGTGGCTGGCAACGCTGCGTGGTGAAGCGGCCGGGACGCGGGGAAACGGCACGTGCTCTGGGCTGCCTGCCAGGCAGTGGGTGCGCACCCATGGGTGCTCGGGGCTGGCGGAGGGGAGGGAGGGATCGCTGCTGCTCGAGCACCCATGTTTTAGCAGGGCGGAAGCGTGCTCAGCGCAGGGTGCCTGGCTCCAGGGTGTCCTCTGCCTGCAGCCACCTGCCCCCCTTTGTCCCCACCCCGGCTCCAGCCCCCTCTCTCTCTCCCAGAGACAGCTCAAAGCCCAGCAGCAGAGGAGACCATCTTCCCAGGAGCTCACAGCCTTGAAGACACCGAACGGTGAGATGAAAATGTGTCTCTCCTCCCCGCTGTGCTCTCTCTGTGTGACCCTCAGAAAGCAGCAGGACAGACCCCGGGGCAGGGGAGGATGGGGATGATGGCTGCAGCCTCCACACGGCACTGGTGTGATGCCTCCACACGATGGCATCCCGGCAACGCCGCAGTGATGGCATCCCAGTGATGATGACATCACAGAGATGATGGCATCCCAGTGATGATGACATCACAGAGACGATGGCATCCCAGTGATGATGACATCACAGAGACGATGGCATCCCACCCTCTCAGGCAGACAGGTCGTCCCCGGGGCAGGAGGCCTAACGAGCTGTGTCCTCTCTGAGCCTGCCAGCGCCATCCCAATTAGTGCTAATTTGCACCAGTGAGATGGAGGGGAGGTATTTGTCCAGTGGGAAGAGGACAGGGGCTGAACCCAGGCCGCCGCGCGGGCAGGTCGGCCAGCAGCGTTTCAGCGATGTTCGCGTTGCAGCCGATGCCGCGCTGTTGCCTGAGGACAGGAAGGAGAAGGCAGCGCTGCGAGAGGAGCGGACGGAGAACACGAAACTCCTCCAAGGCCAGGAGGAGGAGGAGGAGCGGCTGCGGGATGCCGGCCGGGCAGGGAGCGCGAGAATCGCCCAGGACGTTAACATCCAGGTCGGTCGAACAGGCGGGAGCTGCCGGGCTGCGCAGGGAGCGCGTGTCCAGCCAGAACTTCCCAGGCAGCAATCATGGACTGGGGTCTCCCGTTTTCGGGAGAAGGAAGGGGTTAGGAAGTGGTTAGGAAGGAGTTAGGAAGCCTGGAGCAGTGCGGGTCTGGCAGGGAGTCACGAGAGGTGGGGAGGGCCAGAGCATCCCTTACACCGGGTCAGACGCATAGGGTTTGTCATCTCCTTTCTTCCCAGGTGGAAAAGAGAAAAGACCTGGAGCTGGAGGAGCAGTTCGATGCCCTGAGGAGGGAGCACACGGAGACCCTGCAAGGTGCGTGCCAGGACAGCAGGGCTCCCGCAGCCCCCTGCCCGCTGCCCCCTGCACCGCCGGTGCCCCTCCAGCTTTGTGTGGGGCTGTTGGGGACACTGCCCCCCTGCTCCATGGCACTGTGGGGCTCAGGTGGGGCTGGCTGCCCCAGTGTCCCCGCACCAGCGATGCTCAGTTCATGTCCCCGCTGCAGAGCTCCGGAGAGCACATGAGGAGGAGAAGCTGCTGCTGGCAGAGTCCCACCACAGGTCCCAGGCAGCCTTACAGGTACCCGTGGAGAAATACCTGGGGAGAGGGTGCTCATGAAGGGCTTGAGGACCATCTGCTGGCTCTGCCACACTGCCCTGAGCTCCTCAGCAGCCGCCTCGGTCCCTGCTGTGCCCAGGGACCGTGCAGGCTCCTCCAGCCCTGGGGTTATCAGGGTGCCATAGCCCATCAGTGCCCCTGCTCAGGAAGAAATCCCAGACACCTCCCATCCTGCTTCTTCCCCGGCTGCCCTAGGAGACGATCCAGGCGCTGAATTCCCAGCTGAAGTCCTTCCAGGAGAGGATGAAGCGGGTGGAGGAATCGCTCTTGAGCACAGACTACAAGAAGCACATCCAGGTACAGGGAGAGGAGGGACTGGTGGGCTCTGCAGAGGGCTGTCAGGGAGGGGACCTGCTCCGGGATGCTGCCCAAAAGCCAGGGGTGCTTCTCTGATGGACACTGAGAGCAGGGGGCTGGAGCTGGAGGGGGCTACAGGCCAGCTGAAGGAGGGAGCAAAGCCCCGTCCCTGGGAGGTGCATGGTCCACCCAGGGTTAGGGTCATAGAATCATAGAATTATAGAATGGTTTGGGTTGGAAGGGACCTTAATGATCATCTGGTTCCAGCCCCCCTGCCATGAGCAGGGACATCTTCCACCAGACCAGGTTGCTTCCAGCTCCATCCCACATGGCCTTGAACACTGC